AAGAGAATAGGTAAATTGATTTCCTTGAGCTTTTCACAACAGCGTACGTGATCGTACTGGTCCTGCGCCGCGTCACATGCTGCGCAGCTACCCTAATTATTTACTAAGTATGGTATTTATATGCTATAGGCATATCTTTCTTCTATAAATTCCAAGATCTCCTTTACATCGGATCTCTGGACATCACCTAACAATAAAGCCTTCATTTCAGTTACAGCTCACTATATAGACGACAACTGGACTCTCAAAGAAATATTAGTCAATTTTGTTTGTTGAATGGAAAACATGACAGAGTTAATATTGCAAATGGATTTTTAATGTATTAAAAGATTATAGAATTGTATCAAAAGTAGGTATTTTATTTCATAGAAACTTTTTTTTTTCTTACACTAATTAAAAAACTAATTAGCATATCGAATATCATACTTCAATGCTATTTGAACTACTTATGAGATATTATCTGTAAATCACATAATAGTTTCAAATACATTTGAAGTATGCCATCTTGCATTTTTTATTTTTTTTTTTTGACAGCTTCTTGCTATTATCCTAAATAATACTGCGAATAATGGTACTTTTGTTCGTGAATTAGAATTAAAGCTAAAAGAAAAAACAAACCTTGAATAGGATTCGGAAAACCTTCGATTTCGGTACTTTAATCATATCCTTAATTTGGCAGCACAGGCTGCTTTAGATCAAATAGAGGAATATGTTTGCAAGGTATTAATAAATTTTATAAAGGCTGATTAAAAATTTTTTATTATATTAATAAAGGAACAATTAAGATTCGTGAACTTAATGCTGCTATCCGTACAACATCCCAATGTCTTGAACTTCTTGAAAATTCATGTAATACATGTTATATCAAATTTTATAAACCTATTCTGGATTGCCCCTACTAGATGAAACTCCACCTATGATATGATAAAGAATGGATTAGCTCTAAAGCCAGTGAGCCTTTTTATTTATAATTTAGATTGGTATTTAAGTAGTGCTTGTAGTCGATTTCATATTAGTCAATTTTATCGACTTAGCTGGTTTCCAAAAAATCGACTTCATTGATTTTATATTAGATTATATTAAAGTAGATACATTACCACTTTTAGTAAATAAAACTAAGAGTAAGTGCTAAAAAATTCTGAAAAGAAAATCAACAAAAAGCACAAAAAATATTTATTTAGCCGGCATCACGGTTATACAGTATTAGCGACCATAGTTGCTAATCGGATCTCACTCAAATGGGGCACGTGAACAGTTATACTAACAAAAGGTTTTGGGTTACTAATTACGGGTAAGTATCTCTTTATTATGGTTGTTATTATTTATTCTAGGAAGAAAAGCCATTGAACTTTATTAATTTGGCTTCGCTTATATAGTCATATTTTGACTCATATTATTACATCATAAGTCAATCATACAGATTGACTTTTACATCATTTCTTATGTGTTATTCTCTTACTTCAGTGATCATGAGTCATATGCATCGCGTGCACATGACTTCTTAACTCAGACAAGTATCGTCCATAAACGATCCTAGGATAACCACCAAGATCAGTTACATCGGCAGTTATAATCGGTATTTAAAACATGTTATGCACTTTAA